AGAAATTATACGGGAAATTAACTAACGACCAGAGACGTAACAATACTGTTTTATAAACAGTTTTTGAACGTTTGCAATGCGTTTGCTAAACAGGGTAGATCCTGAGATTGTATGGAGTTTCAGACTGGTTTGTGTCGACGTGGTCATAGAAGGTTTGTGGCATGTATTCTCGTAAACGTATTGGTCTGTAGGTATCCTTTCAATGCTAGCAGTTGTTATCTCTGAAATAAAACCATTTTTTTTCGACATCTGATCCAAATTTTCTGGAAAAAATTCCATAAACCAAGACTACAAAATGACCTTAAAGCTTCGATTACTGGTTTAATTGCAACATTTCTGACATTAGTCTCCTATGTGCGATGTTAATAACAAACATCTTATTTTTTTAATAATCTTTTTTAGGAGTTCTTACTTTTTAAAGATTTGTCAGTTGTGTAGGAAATTAAATCTATATTAAATTCAATTTTTAATGACGTCACTCTTAGATTGATATAATAGCAATCTTCGTTCTCGATACCCAACTACTTGTTTTATTGGCAGTTTATTTTATATATATATAACAAATATTACTACACAGTAATCCCGGTAATCACTTAAACAGGCGAGTTTCTATTTGTCAAAATAATAAAATTCTGACAAAAAATTAAATAACGAAAATGTCGTCTAAGACAAAACTAAAGAAGCCTCTAAGTGCATAAAATGCTTAGTATAGTTATTGTTTAATGTAAATAACCACTAGCAAGATTGATACAAGCATGATTATTTAATAGCTAATTCAGTCCGAGACTCACTGTTTATTTTTTATTTTAGATTGTAGGTTTCAAAGCCCACCTAAACATGGAAAATGGGAATTTGAAAATCCAGATGACGCTGACAAGAAATATTTTCCTTCCTTTTATGTTATTAGCTATGTATGTGATAAAGGATACGTACAACGGTCGACTAAACCTTATCTTATATGCATAAATGGAAAATGGGACGGCAGTGTACCGAAATGTGACAGTAAGTTTTATCATAAATCAATTTAAAATATTTAACAAATTATGAAATATTGACGAAACCGAGTAACGCCAAAAATTAATATTCAGTTTTCTATATGATTTTTTTTTTCCCCCGATACAAACATATTATCAAATGTCTGTTATGGAACTTTTCATTTTAACACTTACTTTAAATAATGTCTGTTCATAATAAAGAAAATGTGAGATATACTTCAAAGCTCATTACTTTCGTGTGTTTATTTTTCTTTATCTCAGTAGTTGATATACATAGTCGAGTACGCTATATTAAAACAATTCTGAATATGCAAATCACGTAACAATCACAGTCGATATAAAGTTACGGTAGAACAGAAAGTAACCGAAATGTAATTAATATACGAGTATATCACGTGTTTTTCCACCACCTTCAGTAAAACAGAAATTTTTTTCATGAGTTTTTTTTTTTCTGTGCTGTTTTAACATAAAACACTTCATTCAGAAGACCGTTGAAATTTCTCTGTTTTAGTGTTACTTTTGGCTCTTTGTCTCTCTTTTTCTTATATCAGTTAAGACTCACTTTGTCCTTGGAAATGAGGCAGCATCCTTTTGCTAGCGGTGGTTAGAGCGCTCGACTCGCAATATGAGGGTCGCGGGTTCGAATCCCCGTCACACCAAACATGCTCGCCCTTTCAGCCGTGGGGGCGTTATAATGTGACGGTCAATCCCACTCTTCGTTGGTAAAAGAGTAGCCCAAGAGTTGGCGGTGGGTGGTGATGACTAGCTGCCTTCCCTCTAGTCTTACACTGCTAAATTAGGGACGGCTAGCGCAGATAGCCCTCGTGTAGCTTTACGCGAAATTAAAACAAACAAAAAACCTTTTGCTAGCCGATTTGATGATGTTTGTAAGTTGCAGCTTGCGTGTCGATCGATCGCAAGACAAAGAAACCGAGGTCTTCTGTGTTAGTAAGGGAGCGGAAAATTCTACTAGACTTGCATAGTGACTGGTTGTGCAGAGAGTCGTCTCGAGGGTTTGTATGGAACTAAGCACATGGGCTATCTATGCTCTGTCCACCACGGGTATCGAAACCCAGTTTCTAGCGTTGTAAGTCCGCAGACATACCGCTGTGCCACTGTGCTCGTCACGAGGGAAGAACAACTAAAGATCTAGTCATTCATCCAGTAGAGGGCGTTGCCTGCTTGACTATACATGTATACACAGTCTTTTTGTTTCTGTAACAAAGAATGTTTTTACAGTCCCTGAAATACGTCCAATGTGTTTATTTATCAGATTCAGATTACTCTGCAAATGCCCTGCTCAATCTTCCCAAATATGAAGCAAATCCATTCGATCTTCGAGCAAAAATCATTTAGTTGAGAATATACCACAGAAACGCATTTTGACATTATTTGGCATTTTGTAAGTAGTGTGATGCCACAAAAACTAATCACTTTACGTAATATCGAGTTTCGATGCATAATATTCATAGATGCAGATCAGGATTTAGAATTCTAAAGATAGGTATATTCTATATTCTTAACGACACTGAAAAGCAAAGGAGTATGGATGAAATTTTGGCACTAGGACCATCTAAAAATAGACCTATAACAAGCTGACCCCAGTTTAGTGGCTTGTAACAAGCGAGGATCCATGAACCACGAAGGTCACTAGCCAAATCCGTCCACGTGCCTAAGGCAACAGTATGCATCATGATTAAGAAGGATTTCCGTCTGGAAGCATACCATTGGGGTATGCCTTGACGAAGATAAGGCTTCCAGGCATACATCATTTTCAACCATCACTTACCTCAAACAACTGGAAAAAGAAACAAGTATTCATGCTGTTCCACACAAAGACAAGCCGATCACGTCATCAATGGATTTCTGTGCAATCGGACTGCTGAAATTGGAAATCATCATCCGAGTACACTAGCTGCATTATGGAAAGCAAGCAGGGAGAAATGGTGGGCTCAGACATGACAGTCTTACAACGAAGCTTTTTGCAATGGAAAACTATGCTGCAGGGCTATTGTAAAGACGCACAATCGTGAGATAAAGCATGACAAACATGGCAAAATGTCTCATAACGACATGATAAGACTCCAAAATTGATTTGATATAACGTACTCAATCTCTGTATAGTGCACAGAAATAAGATGAGTAAAATCAACAATGTTATATTGTAACCATACGTTATATAGTATACCGAGATACAAATTACAGTTCATTACTACATAGTGTATATTGGTTGAGAAACACATATTTTAACCGAGTTTAGGTTCTTGAAACTGACGGCGTAGTAATCTATGTTTAAAAAGAGAGTGGGTAATCGTATTTCGATCTTCCCATACCCTGGACTATGTTTTATACAGAGAAAAATGTGTATCTTGATGAGCAGTTATATATAGTATAGATCTGTGCCGTAAAAACTACTTCACAGATAATTGGAATAAATTTACCTTTTTTTAATATTTGAATTTGTTATAAATTAGAAACTGAAAACGTTTTATGTTACTCCACAACTCTATTTAACAATAGGATAGTAAGTCTGACGTAGCAACAGTAAATTTAACACAAGGCGATTAACTTTGACGTTACAACAATATATTTAATATAAGGAAAGTAAATTTGAAGTACGACAATAAGTGAATGTAAATTTTTCAGTTCGACCAACCTTCCTATATTCTAAGTAAAGAAAAAAGATCAAATTATATGCAAAATGAAGACCTAAAACCTAATATAAATCCGAATTGTTTCCAACCTACGGCATGAAATTATAAATCTAATTATTTATGAGTATATTTCTAGGGATTTGATGACAAAGTTGTAATACGTTTGAATTTTATAATGTTTCCAGGGATGATGTGTTCTAAGCCATCCATAAATAATGGGGTTTTTGAGATTAATAAAAGTGGAAATGAAGATTTTGTAGACGGGACCGTAGTCAACTTTAAGTGTTACCATGGCTACAGACTGGTTGGGAACTCTCAGCTCACGTGTACGTTTCAAGGAAGAAACATGAAATGGAATGGAAACTTCCCAAAGTGCAAAGGTAGTTATTGTTTAGTGTTGTATGTGAACTATTATATGAGAGAAATGTACTTAATAAATAATAGTTTATCATGGACAAAGGTAGTTATTGTTTAGTGTTGTTTGTGAATTATTATATGAAAGAAATGTACTTAATATAGATTAGTTTATCATGTACAAAGGTAGTTATTGTTTAGTGTTGTATGTGAATTATTATATAAAAGAAATGTACTTAATATAGATTAGTTTATCATGTACAAAGATAGTTATTGTTTAGTATTGTATGTGAACTATTATATGAAAGAAATGTACTTAATATAGATTAGTTTATCATGGACAAAGATATATCCGAAAATAAACAAAAACAAAATAAATTCTCGTTTGAGATATAAGCTCAAATGTTTATGCCCATTAAACAAGGGAAACTTGCACTCAGAATTTTCTTAATGTTTCTTTTCTTAGTAAATGAAATAAAACAATCACTCGACTACAAATCTGGTCATTTATTAACATGTACCGTTTAAAATGAAATATGTATGTACTTTGAAATGTGTTCTGCAAGGATCTTTACATGGATGAACTTAATACCGTTTTAAGAAATTCGTAGTAATAGATTTTAATTCCTTCTCGTTTAATGTATGCCATTTTGAGATGTCTTTTACTCACATAGTGATCTTCATTTTGAACAGGGAACAATATTCTCGATAATCAATCTTTCTTCAGACCAGAAACTCCCCTGCTGGCTCAGCGCTAAGTCTGTGGGCTTATAACATTGAAAATTGGGTTTCAATACCCACTGAGGGAAGAGCACAGATAGCCCTTTGTGTAGCTTTGCGCTTAACAACAAACAAGCAGACTAAAAAACTATGAATCAGTCTTAGCTACGTAGATCTGTATGTTTTTGGATTTGTGATGTTGGCGATTGTACGATAGATGGTTGAGAATGTAAAATAAATGACAGTTCATACCTGGTAGAAAAAGAACAAAAAGAATATTCTTTTAGTTCTCTTCGTTGAATATTATATGTTCGACGAATGAGCTTCACAAAAGAAGCGAGCTTCTTGGTTTATTGTAATTGTCAAAATGAAAGATTGGGAGTTAATATAATTTGAAGATTTTTAACTATAGTTTTTTAAGTTTTCCATCACAAAGATAGCCTAATGTTATTTAATACTGTATATGAACTTAAGCTAGTGGTTTTTGTTTCAGTCATGCTAGCAACATCTCAAATTTCATTTGAGATTCTGTTGGCTTCGTACCTTTGCTAATACCCTTTATTTTGGCTCTTCAACTCCTTATGTTTATGATATGTTTGAATGATTATATAAATCTTCGTACCTTTGCTAATACCATTTATTTTGGCTCTTCAACTCCTTCTGTTTATGATATGTTTGAATGATTATATAAATATTCGTACCTTTGCTAATACCTTTTATTTTGGCTCCTCAACTCCTTATGTTTATGATATGTTTGAATGATTATATAAATCTTCGTACCTTTGCTAATACCATTTATTTTGGCTCTTCAACTCCTTACGTTTATGATATGTTTGAATGATTATATAAATATTCGTACCTTTGCTAATACCATTTATTTTGGCTCTTCAACTCCTTCTGTTTATGAGACAAACTTTCTTAAGCTAACAAATAATAACTCTCTAAAATATTTGACAAGTTGATCTGTTTCGCTAAGCCTTGTTGCTGTTCATGAATCTAGTTTTGACATTTCTCTAGGTTTTTGATAGAATATGCACGTTGTTTCTATAGACTGATATATGATGTGGAATCAGTTGCTATTTCGAGAATGCTGTTCTAATATATGATTTGTTATATAATATTTTACTAATTATTATTATTCTGTGAAAATATTGATCAATGTGCTTATATTAAATAAGAAGCAAAAACATAGGCCAGGTGGTTATGGTGCTCGACTCGCAATCTGTGGGTCGCGGGTTCGAATCTCCCATCACA